TACCGATTTACACTGAAATATATCACGTCTGCCTGATCTTTGACTTCTAGATGTCAGAGAGGGGGCAAATGCGGCTTGATGAGTTACCTCTCTTCTGACCACATGTTCACACGCCCACAACTGGGTAATATTTCAGGTTGGGACCGTTGTGATTACCACGGCTTTCTGTGACAACAAAATGTGTGCGTGCGTCCTAAAAATAAAATGCATGTCATGTTCGAGGTTTGTGGATTACGGCAGTACTTGGTATTTGCCTTACCAAAATCAGTAAATGCTACTTTTCAGTCTTCCCAGTTTGCAAAGTTTTCAGGCACCATTAGATGTGTAGAAACTACAAACTGGTAGTTGCTCGATTCTAGTTAAATTAAATCCGTACGAGGTTATCCTATTGTCGCCTTTTTCGAAAAGACCTCAAAAAGGAATGCAGTTGTCTCCCCCCCAATGGCCTACAATCCATGTGACCTTTAAGAGCGTCTGTACCGCTCTCCCACTGTCAGGTCAAATGAATTCGTTCGCCAAGTACTATCATTTTTAATTACTTTATATGCTGACATCCGCATTCCCAACCACTTTCCCGTTTGTTTCACGTGCGCATTCTACTTTTGGTCTCGCTGAGACAATTCCCGTGCTTTGTCGTCGTATACCACTATTCCATAATCGTTTATTTTCCACTGACAAACTGCTTTATTAGTCTGAACGATTTCTCTTGATGACAGACTGATGACTGTAAGTCGAAAGCCGGTGTATAGTATCAAAACTGTCTGCCTACATAATTGGGACAATTCTATGTAGATATGAATACATTACGTTCTACAGCCGAATTTACAAATCTGACCTCGGTCAGAAAATTTTAGAACGTGGAGAGCACGAAAATATCAACGCTAATGTCATCATGTGGTGTAACCGATCAGTTCTTCATTCGTGTGGGATCCTAGTAGTAGTATCTGTCAGCGTATATCATTCCACCAGAACCTCATAGGGAAGGAGTAAGATTCAGGGACATAGCAGTAACACTAGCCCTGTTTTTAGGGATATTCAATGGCTCAGATAGTGTCTGAACAATTCCTAGTTTCGAACTGAGTCTGCCTTAACCTGATAAACAGTGATGTTGGTGCTAAACTATTTTATTCCTTGTTGTCTGAGGAACAGTAAAGTTCCATCTTAAAACTAGTCTCTTTTATGCCGTAGGTAACGATTTCTAATGTGTTGCATGTTGTTGATCTTTTAGGATTTGTCCTGGTGCGAACTTGACAGACGCAAAGACCAATCACTAATTATTCGAACTTGTTATATACCCACGAATACGGGACCAAGGAAGAACACGATAGCGTAGTCGGATGGAATAGTATATTTGGATGGTTATGCCAAAATACCGATGCGTTCCAACTAACTGGCTAGAGAGTCGAATACGAGCAATGCAACGTAACACGACAGCGTGCCAAATGGCGAGGATGCTTGACCGGGTGCTTTCAGCTTAGCGAGTCCAGTTAAACTATCAAGGTCAGCATCAATGTCGAAGTCGTCAAACCCTAGGCTATTGATTTTGGGGAAGTGTATGACGCTACAGATCACTCCCCCCCTTGTGGGTTTGTGAGGACCCTAAGACGATACCAGCCGGAAGTAAAAACCCAGTGGTTTCTCCACTGGTAAAACTCTTCCGATGGGCTCACTGCGTGAGGTGGCCCCTGGTTGTCTGAACCTTATTCTAAGGTGTCGTGGCAATTAAATAAATAAAATACAATAAATGAAATTGTACGTCGGTCGCGGTCATCTGTTCCTTTCGACGTTCCGTCCAGTGCTCGTTGCACCTGGAATATAAATAAAAGTCTTTAATACCACGAAAACGTTGCGTAAAAATGGGAATTATTTATATATCAACATATCGAAAAGAAAAAATTTACGCTTATCTTTACCGTTTTTTTAAAAATTTCATTACATGGTAAATAAAAATTGATATAAAAAGGCAAAGTATACGAGGGTTTGTATTGATGTATCGGGTAGGAGTCCGGAGTTGTTTGGCGTTGAACCTACGGTAATCACCGGTTGGACGCCAGTCACTGCTATCCTTTTTGGGAACCATGTGCAATGGCGATGCCCAAGGATTGTTCGACGGTCTGATAATGCCCAGGTCGAGCATGTGTTCGAATTCATTTTTCGCCGTTTGGAGCTTATCGGGGGCTAGACGGCGCGCTTTGGATGCCACAGGTGGACCTGTGGTTGTCACGTGATGCATAACATTGCTGGTTATGCACGGAAGAGTGTGCTTCGGTTGCTGTAACTCTGGATATTTCTCCAGAACTGCCTGGTAGGACGCGTCGTCTGATTGTTTGGTCCTAACGATGGCTAAACTCGGACCTACATAGGTGGTGCCGCCAATGTATCATGGTCGATCTACTCCTGCGTATTTTTGTGCTCCTGTTACAAATTTCGCCTGCTGCTCGCTTTTGTTATTCACTTTTCAGATTTACTTAACCAGTCCTGCATTCAAATGGAATCCTACAAATCGCATTCGTCAGCGGGAAATATTGGCACCGAAACCTGATGACGAACGCGCACACCCCAAGGTCATGAATGTGATGCGGCCTCACCTTCAAGAATATTGGATGATTCAAACGATGACCGGATAATCTTCAAATTCGAACTGAGCCTGCTTCAACAAGCCTCCTATATGCCATAAATCACAGCATCTAATGTATAGCATAACATTGTACATAATAGTTATCTCCCATTACCAAAGTGATCAAACCTGTAAACTGGTTTGTATTCATGTAACCTTTGTCGCATGAAATATATTATTATTATTATTATTATTATTATAGATAACTTTGTGCTATTATCTATCAGTCGTCGACGGCGAGCATCTACGAGTAGATCGTAATGGTTTAGCAAATCTATGCCAATGATGGGCATAGAGACGTCTGCCAGGAGGAAAATCCAGTGGATAGGTTTGCGTAAACCTAAGTTGAGGTAGGCATACCGTCTCCCGAATGTCGCGATTGCCTTGCCGTTGGCTGCTTGAAGATTGAAGGATGGGTCAAGATGACGCTCCTTTGTCGTTGCTGGAAGAATGCTAACTTCTGCGCCGGTGTCGACGAGGTAGCGGACTTTCGTTTTAATATCCGTGACGTAGAGCAAACGGCTTTTTCCGCCGGCTACGGTTGCCGTGAGCACGTGCCGGCGTGACCGTTTCCCGAGTTCGGGTCCTTCTTAAAACGGCATGGTTTACGACATTTTCTGGCTTCATCCCCGTAAGTGTTATGAAACCAGCACCATTCAGGGTTTTCCACCCTGTTGGGTTTCGTTTTAGGGCTACCACACGACTTGCTGCGATGCGCCAAGGTGCGTTTCCGTGAAGTGCTACGTGATCTAGGACTTCGAGATCGTAGCAACCGTCTCACAGAGTTGCACAACTTGGTCACCTCTGAATCCTGGCGCTCTGTTTTGTCGCAGATAGAATATACGTTGGAGACTGGTCTGCTGGATATCTCCAGTATTTTATCTGCTGAGGCTGCCAGGTCGTCGAGTGGGACTGACTGGAGTGTCACCAACACGGTTTGCACCGGTTGTGGTAGTTTCGAGAGAAATAGTTCTCGGAAGAAACCATCGTCAAATGTTCGTGCACCGATTACTTCTCGCATGCGTGCGAGGACTTCAGTAGCTGAGTGGCTGCCTAGCTCGATGTTACGAAGCAATTCGTCTAGACGTTGGCGATCTGTGAGATCGCTTTTCTTCAAGAGTGCGGCCTTTAGAAGTGCATAAGGGTCACTTACTTCAGGATTAAACATGTTTGCTGTAACATACCTGTTTAATTCTCGCGGTAGTGACCGGATGACAGCAAGAAATCGAGAATGAGGATCTGAGACACCCTGTTCTCGAAAATCGGCCTCGGCATACAGAAACCATGTTTCTGCATTGTCTGGCCAATATGGCACGAGTTGGATCGTGTTCGTAGTCGACTTAATACGAATAAGCTTGGGAGTGTGGTCGGACATGAGAAAGTGTAGTAAATGGATATATAAATGTTATCGAAATGAAAACAATAAACAAATATAAAATGGAACAGGCTCACCAATTCAATACTTGTTATTGGTCGGGATATGTGATCACGTCGGGATATTTGATCACGTCGGGCTCACCAATTTAGGATTTGTCCTGGTGCGAACTTGACAGACGCAAAGACCAATCACTAATTATTCGAACTTGTTATATACCCACGAATACGAGACCAAGGAAGAACACGATAGCGTAGTCGGATGGAATAGTATATTTGGATGGTTATGCCAAAATACCGATGCGTTCCAACTAACTGGCTAGAGAGTCGAATACGAGCAATGCAACGTAACACGACAGCGTGCCAAATGGCGAGGATGCTTGACCGGGTGCCTTCAGCTTAGCGAGTCCAGTTAAACTATCAAGGTCAGCATCAATGTCGAAGTCGTCAAACCCTAGGCTATTGATTTTGGGGAAGTGTATGACGCTACAATCTTAACAAAGAATTCAAATAACTAAACTGGATCATGCCGGGGAATTGAGTTGTTTTCATGCATTCTATGTTGTATGAAGTATGTATCATTAGTTCTGTCAGACCCATTAATATTATTTTGACATTTATTCAGTACCTGTAAGAGTTTTGTAAATGTCAATCACTGTTCTGGCATTATTCTTCAGATAGTGGCTTTCTCACTCTTCCATGGACAACCACTCACGGATATTTTGCTGCGATGATAGCGATAACTAAATTTTTTACTTTTTGATTCCACAGAATTCACAAGTGGTTAAGTTTCATAACGGAAAATCCAACCAACATGTCTTCTTCATTTTAAAGTTCTTATTTCTCGCAACGTAAAACAAATATGTGAGTCTTTTAGCTGGTATAGGTCGGATACGGTTAGAAGGCTTTCGAACCACCTGGACCACTTATACATGGAAGACCCGCTTCCAGTTATTTCGCTCAAGGTCGAATAGAGGTAGAAGCGAGCCATATTCGTTTGTATTACCAGTCCTTCATATAGCGCAGGTTTGTTAGCTTAGGTAATGTATAGTTAAGAATGATTTCATCATGTAAAAGAACACCGTCTTACGGTATTATCTCCACTTTGTTGATGGGGTCAGAACGCCGTTTTAAATCTGATTTGTTTGTTCATTAGAAAAAAAATCATGACCATTAGTGAATGCAGCCTTTTTGGCATCTTAGTGTTTAATCCTAATTCAAACTGTAATATGAAAACATTAATAGTTACCAACTAGTAACTATTAAAGTAAATGACAAGATATCCAGGGCCCATTACCAGGAAATGAATAGGATGTAGTACGTATGTTACCAAACGTGTGACCACTGTTTAGGTCAGGCCAATGGAGTCGGATGAACGACCGTTATAAAAGATATCCAGTCGCATACTGGACCGATTGTAAAAACTTAATGCTAGGCGTAGGAAAAATGTCCCAAGCCTGTGGCCAAATGCCGGACCTAGAAACGTCAGGCCTGACGGAGGGAAAGTATTGGAAGACTCCTCATCAGGCTTCAATTTCTGTATTTAGTGACCCAACATTGCTCTGTTTGGCCCGAAGAGAATGTTGACTAGGTTATACTGTGAATTACTGCGTAAACGAGGCAACTTGTTTGCCAGATAGTTTATTCTAACAAATAATTACTTCCGATCCAGAATATGTAGCTACATAGGAGCTTAACAAGAATACCACACCTAAGGCCCAATATTGGAATTCGGTCGAAATTCTGACTAATATTACATCTCGTGGAATATCCAACTGTGGTAAACAGCAGTGACCTCTTTAATGAAGCCTTTCGGAAGATTGCTTGATAGACAGCATTACTTGTAATTCTTTCAGCTCACCATAGTACTTACTCAACCCCAAACCTTTCATTCTTGATTTCTTATTGATATCTACTGCTTTCGTAGGTGTTTGTTTTCTTCATCTTTGCACTAACCAGAACAAGCCTCTTAGTTCGATCTCTAGACGCCTAATTTACACTAACTCACAGCTTAAGACACCTATATATGCAGTTGTTTGAAAACCATGTCTTCTGATATACTCCGTGACTTTTTCATTTTGTCTACGAGATAAAACAGTCAACCTTTACAGCTAAATGCATGAAAGCATGAAGTACTTCCACATCCATTGAAGAAGTACAACTAATTGGAAAGAACGGAGTCTCAATACGTAAATGGGATGTTTGAACAATATTTGATTTATCATAAAAGCACTTAAGTTGAGTCCTGTTTCTTCTACTGGGTTAGGTTTCAAATGAATTGTAAAAATCTAATCTGCGTAAAGATGACTTTCTGTCTCACCACTTTATTGAAGTTTTATGAAATGATGTTAATACATCAATCAATTCTACCAGAAAAGCTCCATCGATAAGTTCAGTACATGCTTCCAATAAAGCAGTACTTTTTCCTCTAAGTGACTTATAAATATATCCAAGCCTCGATAGGCTGCACACGACTATTGTTTATCTTGACTGACATAGTTGATAAGCTCCTTCGCAAGCCATTCACTGTATCTGTATCTTAGAACGGACTTTCAAGAGACTAAACTGAGGCCATAATTAGCCCAGTTTTCAAGAAAATTAACGTATAAACGGTTTCGAATTATCACCTTGTTTGGCTAACTGTAATGGTTTTTAAGGCTTTCGATAAGATTATTTGAGATAGGGTACATAGCTATTTCGAAAGGCATTATTTCATGTGGCATCAGTATGCCTTCCTTGTAGGTTACTTCTGCTTAAGTAACTTCAGTAAGGGAAGAATGAGTAGGAGCTTACGACAATACAATGCCGGTAGATGTGTTGGTTGGCTTTAATAACTCTTCATAACATTTCCCACGTAGGATTAGTGACAAACCTCACCAGTTTTGCCACTAGCTGACATTTCATGGTCATTCAAGAAGTCACTGCAAAGTAACAGGAAGTAAGAATAAACCTTAGTAATGATCAGTCACGTTCGAGCTTGACCCAGACCTAATTGATCAGTCAGGTGCGCACTAGAACTAAATTTACTCGAGATAAATTTTCATAAACGATGAAACAGTAGTCAGTAGGTCTTCACTTTTGAGAAATGGATAGTTCATCCTGGGTTATAATTTAGTATCAGGGTGTGCAACTTAGTGCGAAATAATAACTCCGATTCTAATCCCCTTCACCTTAATTATAAATTCGAAGTAAATTAGCATTCTTAGTTAGATAATGAGCTGGGAAATGTGTAAGTAGTTGCTTTCAACCCTGGCGCTGAATGTAGTAACTTAGGTAGGTGGCAGAGTTGGTTGACTGATGACTATTTGAAAACCAAATACCTAAGTATCACCCAAGTTCATTTAGAAATGATCATTGCATGAAGTCATTGAATGCGCGTGACTAAGAAACGGGTCCGCGGATAGTGTACCATATGCGTCCACACCTTGACTAGTTAAGTGTAATTCCCCATCATTCAAATATTGATAAATGTCTAACAAAATTTTGTTTAGTCCACAATTTGCGAGGATTTTCGTGATCTGTACTGCAGCATAGATTCTGCTGCACTGTAATGTTTATCTAGATGTAATCGACTTCCAGTAGCTAGCAGCTGAGCATGAATTGCTGACCACAGGATCGGTTACTGTTTCGAAAGAATACTTATACTCACAAAAATGAGCGTTATGCAACAAAAGGAGTAGAAATTTATTTTATGTAATGTTTGTTCTCTCTACAACTGTGCATCTGGAGAGGCACATCAGGATACAGCATATGAATGATATGAAGTTTTATGACATCCTGTTGTGTCTAAACGTTCCTGATTGATTTGGATTCACTGTTTCATTTTCTTTTAAGTGCGTTTTTTGTTTGTGACAGTTCACCCCAACACAACTGCCGGATTGTAGTAGAATAACTTCTGACTTTTACAGCATTATCTAACCGTTTGCGACTGCGTTATGGACGAACGGTTGTCGGACAATTCACTAGGTGACCAGGTATTTTTCGATATTTCAATTACTAAAAGTTAGGAGCTGAACAAATGTGGTGCATATTGTTCGAGAGTTACTGACGAAGATAATTGTGGTCTAGAGAATTCGACTTTGGCTTCAAACAAAAATGTAGTTGGTGACATCAGACACAAAGGAAGACGCTACGTGACCAAAGAGAAGCGCTTCGTAATTAACGGTAAGCCTATGTAAAATTAGTAGACATATGATCGATTGTAATGTCTCCGGCTGCATGTTTGTGGAGTCCATTCATGGTTCCCAGGAAAATTCAGGTTTCAATTTTTTTACCCAGATTTTCAGCAAACCTGAATACACTGCATGTTAGGAATCAGTTATTGTGGCTCCTAGTCAAGCAGACTAGACCCAAAGGATTTGTTTATATGATTTTCGTAAAACAAATTTTTGTACCATTTCCTAACACGTAAATTATGTAAATTAGTCGTTATCTTGACACAACTAATCCATGAAATGAGTTGAAATTTGAAGATGCCTGTGACGAGATATTTTGAGATAAATTTCTGTATTTCGATACTGTAGACATCAGTTAAAAATGTTACCAGGTGAAAACAGAAAATAGTCTCTCTAGGTGAAAAATGGATAAATAAATCTGTACCGGGTTGTTATATATATATATATATATATATATATATATATATATATATATATATATATATATATGATATGAAAATTTGAACGGCAGCCTTCAGTCATCACCCAGTATCAATACTAGTCTGCCAAACTACGGCTATCTCAGATAGTCTAGCGATAATATATATAACCGCCAAATTGTTCCAGGTTTTCGACTGGATATTCGGCAGAATTCCTGGCAGTTCTACATTTTATTTTTTAGCAATAAAATCAGTTGTAGTATGATGAACACAAAGAAGAAGAATGAACTCAAGTAGTTTCTAAAGATTCAAAAGTGTGTGACCATCTGACCATCTTCGGAATAAAAATCTGAGAGTCAGTGAATTAATTAGGTCTTCCCTTTTATCCACATCCAGAAACAAAACCATATTTATCTGCACCCAACCACCTTTCCATTCTTTAATTTGAGTTTGGATTTACCCTGTCTGTAGGATTGTGTGAAATCATCTGACAGAGTGGCTATGTCGCATAACTTAAAACTTGAACAGTAAATAGATAGACTGACAACGTAGGATATGGCATTTCTATGTGCCACTTCTAGTTACCACATCAGTTAGACGCCAAGATGAAGGACATCCACTAGAAGAAAGTAATCAAAAGTGACAGACAGTCACAAAAGTGTGGAAAAGTAATGAAATTCAGTGTGACAATTAAGATGATGATAATATGTGGACACATCTGCACCATTCAGATCGATTCTGAGTGATATCACATGGTCTCCAACTTCTGGTTTCTGTTATCACATTGATCCCAACCACAGAATTTACACTCCCCTACACAGCTCAGATCAACAGTCAGTAGCTCCATGGACTAATGCTATACTGTAGTCTGACCACCTTTAACTTTTCTCCAGCCTAAACCTGCTTTAGTTAACGTTGTGCCACTGGCTAGGTGATGACTAGGTATACGTAACACATTTCCAAACCACGTAAGTCGATGAACGCTCGCAACCTCATGGAATTACTTGTCTCCCACCTAAAACACTCCCCCTGTTCTCTACGTTACTGATGTGGTGACTTCACGATACACGGCCTATGCTACGAACGCGACGGTGGTCGAACACCTGAAACCTTCTCATTTCCCTTACCTTTAATACCCATGTCTCTCAGTCATACAGTAGGACAGAATGAGCTGCAGGCCATTAAAATCCATCCTAAGTAAACAATCGAGTAACACGGCAGCGTTAACAGTGGTGTAAGTTGGCGAAAGTTAGTCTGATCTTTTGTACCCGTGCAGAGATTTCGTTGGTAACTGACTCACCAGAGATGATCTGACTTCCGAGCTGAGTGGAATCGTGAAAGCGCTCAACCGTTCTACCCTCATTGGTAAACAAGGCAACAGAGGAGACCAGTCTTGCAACAATACTTTGCATTCGGGTGGTAACAGACACATACTAAACATTCTCAAATTACTGTTCAGTGTATCTGGAAGACTCTTCAACGTTTCAGCGTCTTCACCCAACAGGACTGTGATCTGCGCAGTCATGGATTACTTAGGAATCTATTGTGACAAGATCAGTCTTTGTAAAGAAACATGACGAGAGGGAAACCTTTATAAGTATGTCTTTGAAGTTTAATAAGAATGGGCATTCTTGACGGACAACACTTGGTGTACGCACTTCGCCGTAAACTCTAACTCACCCACAAGTGTTCGAGTACAGAACTTTTAACTAAGTAATGTACTTACTCCGCACTGCTTTCAGTGCGAGATATTGTCACAAAACTTTGTGACTGGTCGAATCGAATGCCACCTTTTTCGATGACAGACAATCAGTGATTGAGTCCAGTCAGAGATCATGTCTGACTGCCACATTCTAGGTAAAAATTCACCTAATTTGACCATTAGCTCCCTTTTACCATCCTTAAATGCCTCTGGTACTAGCCCGTCTTACCCTGCTGCCTTTTTTCGTTTCAGACTGCCGACAGCTTTCTCGACTTTTGTAGTTGTTCGAGGCCCAATCAAAGTGTATCATCTAGGGTCTAACTAGATAATAGGCAACGAAATAGTGGTTAGAGGCAAGTTGAACTGCTCCTTGAAGTGTTCCATCCGTCGTTCCAGTCGTCTCTCCTCCAAGTTAATCTCAGATCCACCCTTTCCGTTATAGTCCCACCAACCATTGAACTTGTCCCAGTATCCCTGACGAGCTTATGTAAACTGTCTACCGCTGGCTATCGCCGCTGCCTTTTCTGTCGTTTTAGCTTTCGCTACCCACCACTGTTTTCGATCATTGCGTAGGCGGTTTGTTGGTCTACATTTGAGTTGCTTGCGTTCATTGTACTTACAGCCCGTTAGAATGCGTTCGCGTGCATCCATTAACTTTAAAAAAGCTGATGAGATCTACTGACACTTTCTAACCACTACTTGAGAGCGAAGTATTCAAGACTGCTTTTACATCAGATTCCGGGTAGCTCCACGCTTTTTCCCCTTCAGTGATGGTCTTTTCTGACGAATTTCTAGCCACCTTTTCCCTGAAAGTAGCCCTAGTGTTCTCATTATCACGCTGCACTTGCAATGGTCTTGTTGCCATCGTTTTTTACTTCAATCCAAGTGCAGGCATACATGCGCTCAAAACAGAGTGGGGCCTCTTCCCAAACAATTGCTCCAGAAGGAGTAGCAATCTTATGTCTCAAGATCCCCATGGTACTGCTGGTCATCGGCGGAAAATATCTTACTGCTGTCATCCAGCAGTGCAATTTCACCTTCTGACCATCATCATAACGTAGCAATTTACGTTACAGTGGTAATTAGTTTTGTCTAACCGCTATCGAACAGACCTTTCTGGTATGGTAGGACCTTGAGAGAACAAGTGTTCCACCAGCAAAGCCCGTTGGGTTGTTGTGATATACAAGCCTAACCACCACGTTAAGGTTGCAGGTATAGTATGAGGTAAGGCAAGTTGTCCAGGATGCTGTAAACCTCCACCTACTGAGATGACTTGGACTTGTCGACCCACTACATAGTGCGAAGTAGAATTGGGATGGAAGAGAGCTAAGGGTGGCCAGACCAGAATGTCATCAATTTTCGAAGTCTTTCCCGATCAATCTTAGACATGTTGGGGGAATATAGGTGTCCCGGACATAGTAGAAATCAGTAGTTGAAGACACTTGATAATATGACTCGAAGCCGGTCATATCAACAAAACCGTACACATTTTTTGTCATTTTCGATGTATACATTCCGATTAACCGCCTCTCTTAGTATACATCTTTTTCTATTTTCATATTCTTTTCCCATTCACTTGTTCTTTACATGCTGCTGTGTAGTGTGGCAACTCGAACTGATGTACTTTTGTGTCAGATTCTACATTGATCTGTCTGTCCAACTGATGTTGGAATATTTTGTTAATAAACTAATGTCCTGATCCATAATTCCTTAGTAATGTCTAATCTAACCAACTGAGGTTCTCTTTTTTGTTTCGCATACATTTCCATGACTTTGTTTAAGGATTTTACCGCCTAGGATATGCTACTAAGACAGTGCATATAGCTTCTCAAACGGCTTCATGTTATTCATTTAGGGTTTGAATACGAATTTTAAAGGTATTCATTTAGAGAATGACATTAGTTATCCATAGATGTTTGTTAATTTTACAGGTAAGTATCTTTTCTGGGAACGGGACTGTTTTGTAGTGTACTGGTTGTTTTAAAATAACATTTTTAAACTAATGATTGTAGAGCCTGTGAAGTTATTGTAGACTCATGTTCACCTAAACAGTTTCTGATTTTTTAGGATATATGTCTAACTTACTTTTATAGATATGGTCGAAACGGTTGATTTTGGTCTTCTACCGGAGGGTTGGCTCCAGTTGCGTCACATTTCTGGTCTTAATGTGTATTTGCACAGATCAAGTCGAGTGGTGACACTGTCAAGACCATATTCTATTGGGCCTAGTAGTGTACACTATCATCGAATTCCTGTATCTGCTATTCCATGTTTGGCTTATCGAAAAGCTAATGGACAGAATTTCCGCACATCAGAGTTTGATAAGGTGCAGTTCATGTTATGTTTCTCTTTCCCCATATCGATGGATTTTTACAGTATCATTGTATAAGTACTTAAACTCATCTTTGCTTCAAAGCAAGAACCAAGTTTGTAGAATAAAATAGGCTTGTTTTATCTCACCACTTCTCTCGAGTTGTAGACACTGTAAAATATACGTAGAACTAATGAAACAAGAATAAATATTTCTGTTCAGCGTAAGGAGTGTATAAATTAATGAGGAGGAGATAAATAATCTTACTGAAGTTTTAAGAGAATAAACATTTTTTGGATTGCTGGAAAGATGATTCTTAGATTTTAGCAACTAGCTGTTTCCTTCCCTCCTCATGAAAGCCCATCATTATTCTTATTCCTTCTGTTCTTTCCTTATTTCAGCAACTTTATGCATACCTTAGGCTTAGGATTAAGTAGTCCACAGTTGGTCTAATATACTGAATGAACTCATCTGTAGGTGAGTCTCAGTGGTTTAATTTGATGCCTCAAACTAATAATCCCAGTACAATTTTGTGGTAAGACTAACATCCATAAACCAGATTACCGTATTAGGGCAGTAGTCGACTTTGGAAGTGTACCTACTTGTTATCTCCTATTAGAAACCAACCACTCAAAGTCTAGGTTTGCCATTTCCTTTGGTTTGAAACATAGACTAAATAATACACAATTAGAGGAGAGAGAAAAGATTATCAGTTTCGGTATGACCAGCCTCCACAAATATACTAATTAATATGGCTCTTGAGATGGTTAAAAATTAGTTCACCACTGACCATGAACTTAGCCGTAGACCTAACGTTTCGATTGAAGAAATCAAGGTAGGAGTACGATTTTGTCTAACTTCCATAGTCTTCCGATTTCAAGACAAAATATATAAGCAAACATAAGGAAAAGCGGTGGGATCTGCAATATCCTTGATCGCAGGAGACATATATGTGGATATTTGGGAACATTCCAACCCACCCCAAAAGTATAGTGATGGTATGTAGATACCCATATGTACTGTGTTGAAATCAGGACATACCTAGAGTATTTTCACACACATTAACTCGATAATGGATGCAATCCAATTCACTTATGCATTAGAAAACCAAGGAGGACCGCTTATGCTGGATTACAAAATCGAGAAAAGAGATGGCAATTTAGTCACAAGTGTTTATAGGAAACTAACAAATTGGTTTTCACACCATTGCACCCTATATCTACCTACGTGAGCGTGATCGAGCTAGGAGTTAGAGTAAAGAAGTCAGAAAAGCTAACTAAAGAAGTGAAACATTGAAGAAACGTTACTACCTTCTGGAATTTATTGGAAAGTTTATAAGGTCTTACAAGGTAAGGGGTGATAATATTATGGGGTAATCGCAGCATGCCTGTAGGCAATTTAGATCTTCTGTAGTGTTGCCGTATAAAGAAGGCACGTAGGAAATTTCACGTAGAATTCGTACCAATCTTGGGATTAGGGTGGCATTTAAACCCACAGAGAGAAATTTGTAGGCTAAAAGATTATATAGGTCTATCAAATACCGTGCTCTGATTGTGAGGTCAAGTATATAAAGTAAAGCAGCCGATCGGGATAATTCAAAACAACGGAGCACACTAATTTGGCGAAATAGGCTGATTGACCGTACTAAGGTAAGTAATTTAGAAAAAACTAGGCTGTCGCTGTTCATGCACCAACCCATAATCAAACTAATAGGGTTACGATTCCAAAATCTACTAAAGCTAATTAGAGGGATAGGTTGATTACTGAATCTTTGTTCATTGAATCAATAACTTGCACATGTAATAAGAATGATTCATCACATATTGCAGATTAATTGTAGAATTTTACTGCTGTTAAAATAAAAGAATAAAGAACTGTTGGACTATATAAGTATGATTACCTTGGTATGAATACGAGCAATAAATTCTGCTCGAAACATCATCTAGGAAATAATACTTTGTCATTTTGTCGAATGTCAAATCAATTATCTAATATTAAACCTGCTCCGTATACTCTGGCCTGGACAGTTGAGTAGTATCATAAGCTCTCACGCAATTAGTGTGACTGATGGCCTAACACAACATATCCTGGGTTTGTACAATATAATACTGCTAGAGTATTACCTTATATTACCTTGTCTTGATAAGTACAGTCATATCACGTTGACATGATGATGGACAATAAAATATGTTCAAAAAATCATGGAATTAACAATGGTGTTTCACCATGTGCTGCGTTAAATGAACATATCTAATATTCAAAATTTACTGTTTGCATCAAGAAGTCGGAACTGCCAAATAAATGCTTTGTAACGTGTTTAGAATTCTTTGTACAAGTAATATATCTAATAGTGGAAAATATTCTCCGGTATTACTAAAAATCACTTGACAAATCAGAATTTCGTCCCAAACTATCTATAACATTTCATAAATACTGAGTTACTAATTCTATGGATATTCACTACAACGGTCAAGAGTCGATAAGTTTCGTACCCATTTTCTCTCATATTGGATTTACCACCTTATTATTTTTATAATATTATTTGTCCCTTGGGTTCCTAGTGGAACGCAGGGCTTCAGTAGCACGTCTCTAGTGCACTCTCTTCTCTGAAATCTTTTGAACTTGGCTTCACAACAGCCCAGAAGCTCTCATTTCTTCCTCACGATCTCCTCGATGTCACCCTCGCCTCAGACGCCCGACTCGTCGCTTCCCATCTGGGTTCCACTCGAGGGCCTGACGCGTGATGTTCCCGAATGATCTTCTCAGTGCATGCCCAATCCATCTCCACTTCCCTCTGCATATTTGTTGAGTGATAGGTTGTTGGTTGGTTCGTTGCCAGAGTTCCTTGTTGCTTATTCTTTCGGGCCATCTGAGCTTCAGTAACGAGCCAGTGTAGGCAGTTGTTGATGAATGTCTGCAGTTTGTTGGAAATGCCTTTCGTAACGTGCCGCCTTATGTATACATACTAGTAAAGGAAATAAGAAGACTGAGACTCAGTAAGGAATGTCTGTTATTAACATCGTGTACAGTAATCATCAAATATTGTACACATTGCACTAAGACAGTCATTTGCATAATGTGCTTCATTTCCTCTTCTGCTTCTATCTTGCTTTGTTCTTAATACGCCCACATTGTCTCTTGCATTTTTCTGGGCAGAATCTCTACCTATTACTGGTAATTTCCTATGATTTCTGCCGCCCTCTCAATATATACTGTTTATATCCATTCTGATCAGCAACACCACTACACTAGAACATGTACATTGGAGGGAGAGGCAGAAGAACTGAAAAATCTCGTGAACACATTCCAAAGAAGTTGAGCTTAAAGGAGCTAAATTGTCTTAAAAGTTCTATTGCTAAACATTTAATGGATACAAGATGTGATGTACAGATCTCGGGCGCATCTAAAATAATTAAGAAACTAAAGAATGCTACTACAATTAGACTCGCAAAATCAATTACTATCTGAATAATTAAGCCGAAATTATGCATACAAAAAGAGGCCGTTATTAATCTTCAACTTCCCTGGTAGCCTTTGATTTTTGTTATTTGGTATGAAACTTGTCAATTTATGCGTCTTCACCCTCCCATTACAACTGACTTCACAATCAATTCCTGTTTTCTTCTCTCAATTTTACTGTCTAACAGAAACCGATTCCACTTTAACCTACTTGCAATTTTTAACTTTGTATTCACATTACTAGCTTATCACATACACCTTATGTAATCTATGCTAGTCCATCTGCAATCAAATCAGGTGCTTGCGAATCGCACAGTCCATAGTGCGAAATCTCACCATGGCTGCCTGTGAAAATCAAAATATGCAGATAACATAATACGATCCGCTCGACATCACAGTTGAAGTCAAGATGACAAATATAAAAGTTGTACGAAATATACTACCGACTAACGTAAGTAGTTGTAAACTACTCATACCTATCAACAGTGCTCGCTAGCAAGAAAAAGATGATTTAAACACTGGACTGCCGTTTTGCTCCTTTGTGCCCTAGCTTATCAGTAGTGTACCCGGTTTCATTCAGCTCAGAAAACTGGTTGTTCAAACCATACGAATTCTCTGTTTATATCATCTTGATTTGACGGGTGGGCACTACTGATCGATGTGAGTGCTTTAGGAATACTCATGTTATTCTGTAGTGTACTTCTTACAAAATTACCAACTGACCTTGATTACATTGGATAACTTTATTCAATAGGTTATTCCCTTTGAACCTCCTAATATATGCCATTTCTTTCATTATTCTTATCAGTTATCTTCCTTTCAATTAACAAGGTATGTAGATTCTTTTTCTCTGCATATATCATATCCTGTCACTTTTACATTCTCTATGCAGTTAAAAAAGACAACAAAATACCATAAACCCATCATATCCTGTAAAATTTGTTGCTTGCTTAACCAAAATTAACTAGGAGGATTGATACAACTGCAAAGTAATTTAAATACCCTCCTCTGACCTCAGGGACAAGTAGTATGAAGTCAAGAAATGCAAAGTAATCGATATTTCTGAATTCCAATGTTGGTTTGAGTGCTAGTATTCTTTATTGAGGGAATACTGAGGTGTCTAAACGTAGGTTTTCATCACAAAGAAATAATAGAAAATGAAGTATTAAGAATGACAAAGTGTCAGATGGCTACTTCATCCTCGACAGTGTACATGTGAATTTAGAAATCGGATACGAAGTCAACGATCTAGTACAAATTCCTACACTAGTCTATGAGCCGATATCCTATATCTGAGGACGTACTATACTGCACAACTAACAGTAACAAATGCAAGTAGACTTCGTATCGACCCTTAACTCAGTAAGTTAACGTTAAGTTTGCCAACTTCAGAGTCAGCTCTCTTTGAGACGACAACTGGTGTTCGCCAGGGATGCCCACTGTCACTGTTCCTATTTAACTTCATCATAGATGTACTTATGGATATAACTTCAAGTATGTCTGACTTCCCAGGGATTGACTTGCTCCCTGGTGATCATCTGCTTGACTTGGAGTATGCAGACAATATTGTCCTGCTGGGTGTAGATGCTGTCAAAATGCAGAGTCTTCTGAACGTGTTGAACAGGAATCAGAGTATGTCTTGCATGCGTTTTGCGCCTGTCAGATGTAAGATGATCCTCTAGGACTGGTCTACAATGACTCCCAGTTTAATGATAGGGAGTGAAGTGGTGGAATGTGTCGACCACTTCACTTACTTGAGGAGTGACATCAGCTCGAATAGGCTGGTCGCTGGAGAAATTCAGCTTGGATACAGAACACCCGTTCGCCATTTGTCATTTGGTGCCAAATGGCGAGATATCCGACTATCTATCAAAGGATGAGTATACTGCGCTCTAGTTCGTTCTGTGCTGTTGCACGGTTGTGAAACATGGGCGTTAAAAGTCGAAGACATGAGATGGTTACTGGGTTTTGATCATAGGTGTCTTCGTAGCATTGCTCGCGTTTGGCGGAGTCACCGTGTGAGCAGTGTTGAGGTCAGGCAAAAGGTACTAGGCAAGACAGGCAAGCCGATTGATGACATTGTGAACCCTCATGGACTGAGATGGCTTGGACATGTACTGCTCGTGCCGAACCACCGCCCACCTCAACGTCCCATGCTGAGTGAAGTTGCATTAGCTTGGAAGAGGGTCCAGGGTGGCCAAACCGAGACATGTCACCACTCTATGTAGTCTCTTATTGTTGACCTGAGCTGTGTAAGGAAATGTAGACTTCCTGGTTGGGTCCTCGAGATGATAAGGATCAGTGGTTGAGGACTTTTGGTGACATGGTTGAAAATCAGTCACAATGACGTAGATTTATTCACTCTTTGACGTCTTCTAAAGCTAGAACATTTACGATGACCTTCATCTTCAAACTGCTTATTCTCTCACACAACTTCATCTATTCCGACATCACTTTTCTTATCCATCTGTTCTTTGTGTACTACTGTGAAGTGTGGTAACTTGAGCAGATGCACTTGTGTGGGAGATTATACGTTGGTTTTGTCCGTCAGTCGCGATGACCCCAGGATCTTCACCTTTCCCAACTAATATCGTTGTACCTAAATCTTTTGGTTTGAATTTTCAACTTCAATTAATATTAAGATCAGCATATATGTATTAGCCATGACAGAGCGCCAAGATAACCCTTATAGTAAGAATTTATCATTTAATCTTGCAATGACTGTCTTCAAATCGGTCACAAGTGAGTGTTAAAGATGAAATTAAAGCAAAATATTTTCACAAATTGTTTGTCATTCTACGAAAAGTGATTTGGTAACCAATATGATAATGTCACAAAAGGTGCTTAGACAGGTCACCGTTTTGAACTCTTGGCTTTTTATCACCTCTTTTTTCCGACTTGGATTTTTTATTCTGTTTTCTGTAATTATTTTTAAAGGATAAATCAAAAGCAGTTGATCCAATTGACAAGCCAAACAATGAAACGGATCGTTGTTCCCCCGAAAAATCTCCCTTCATTCCAACTGAAGCTACACAGAAAATCGAAGAATTAGAAGTTTACGATGAATCTTCTGAATGCTTATTATCGGTTGTGAACGAAGAGAATAATACACTTACGATTACTGAAGTACCGAATACTGATGTCACCGCTCAAACCAACGCCTCGTTTCCACTTCCTTGTTTACGACAAAGCATATGTTCAGACAAGGAAGAAGGGGAATTATCTTCTGCAGATGATGAAAAGAAAACTCCGAAGAGGATAGAGTCAAAAAACCGCGTTTGAATGAGACAGCTAACACTTCATCCAGTACAATATCACTTACACAAGGTAATAAGCTTGTTAATCTGGCTCCCCCATAATTCTGTTCGACAAACCTTCATTTACTACGTTTTTATTTCGAGGTTTCAAGGTGAATATGTAAGCACCGAGAGATGTTGGACTAGACATTGAAAGTTTTTATGATGTACTAAATGAAATATGGACTGTTGATGTCGTACTTTCACTTATGCCTTGGAAACAGACACTGAGCAAAGCTTTCAACTGTGATGATAATTGGAGTGGTATGTAATAATGCATCATCTGAAAAACATTACTATGACACTAAAAAAATTCTACTCAATGACTTTGTATGCATTCATGTTCTAAAATGTCGGCCGTTGATGTTTTCAGAAAACAAGCGATACAAGTCAATCACTATAGCTGGATGCGATCGATAACACTCATAAAAAATCGAAATCTACTCAGCAACCATATGTACAATCGTGCAGTAACCAACAAGTCACACCTATTATGACTCTAAGTGACCCTCCAAACTTTGGTAGATGAAATGGGGTTCAAACTTATGACCCACTGATTGGAAGTCGTATGGCTAAACCAATGAACCACAGCCTCACACTGAATGACGTGAAATGTTATATATATTACATCGACTTAGTAACTAGAGGGGAATGAATTGTCATATTTACGTCAATGGATTTATTTGCTTTGGCACAGTGATGCAGTTCTCCTTATTAGACGGTTTTTCTGGCCCATTGTATTAGCCATAAATCATGTCGCATTGTGCCGTACCAAATACACAAGCTTCATGGAACTATTCATGGCATTAGTACCTGAAGTCTACTCTAAGATCGATGCAGCATTTTCTTTTACCCATAAATAACCGTAAATTGTCCCGGTTTTCACAACGGTTATAGGCTTTTGAATTCCTTCAGAATTTATTGATGACCTCCTTTATGGATTGATCTTTTAAACATACCATAGTTTTACGGTGTCAAATCCTTAAAGTATGTAGCATTTATGAAAGCGAAATCTATATATGGTGAAAATTTCTTCAGCGACCCAAAGTAAACATACTACAACGTTTTGCTACAATAATTCTGTTATAAATGTGCTCATGGAGTTTTTCCTTCGTCTTATTTTGAAGGCACTGACTTCGTTACAGTAGACTCCTAATTAGTCCTTGAGTGCGTAGATCACAGTCCCGTTGGGTGAAGACGCTGAAACGTTGAAGAGTCTTCCAGATACACTGAACAGTAATTTGAGAATGTTTAGTATGTGTCTGTTACCACCCGAATGCAAAGTATTGTTGCAGGACTGGTCTCCTTTGTTGCCTTGTTTACCAATGAGGGTAGAACGGTTGAGCGCTTTCACGATTCCACTCAGCTCGGAAGTCAGATCATCTCTGGTGAGTCAGTTACCAACGAAATCTCTGCACGGATACAAAAGATCAGACTAACTTTCGCCAACTTACACCACTGTTAACGCTGCGTGTTACTCGATTGTTTACTTAGGATGGATTTTAATGGCCTGCAGCTCATTCTGTCCTACTGTATGACTGAGAGACATGAGTATTAAAGGTAAGGGAAATGAGAAGGTTTCAGGTGTTCGACCACCGTCGCGTTCGTAGCATAGGCCGTGTATCGTGAAGTCACCACATCAGTAACGTAGAGAACAGGGGGAGTGTTTTAGGTGGGAGACAAGTAATTCCATGAGGTTGCGAGCGTTCATCGACTTACGTGGTTTGGAAATGTGTTACGTATACCTAGTCATCACCTAGCCAGTGGCACAACGTTAACTAAAGCAGGTTTAGGCTGGAGAAAAGTTAAAGGTGGTCAGACTACAGTATAGCATTAGTCCATGGAGCTACTGACTGTTGATCTGAGCTGTGTAGGGGAGTGTAAATTCTGTGGTTGGGATCAATGTGATAACAGAAACCAGAGGTTGGAGACCATGTGATATCACTCAGAATCGATCTGAATGGTGCAGATGTGTCCACATATTATCATCATCTTAATTGTCACACTGAATTTCATTACTTTTCCACACTTTTGTGACTGTCTGTCACTTTTGATTACTTTCTTCTAGTGGATGTCCTTCATCTTCCCGTCTTTTGGCTTTTGGCAACTTAAAGCACTCTGCTGTAATTCTATGTCTTACGTAGATACTAACTGCATTAAGACAGAGGCGACATTCAGAGTCTTTTGTGTGTGACTGGTGACGATTTAAGAATGTTTATTTTTTTTTTGCCTACAGTATAGAAATTGTGGTTCACAAGTGGTTCTTATTGATTAGCTGTCTAACACGCTCCTTTCCAAATTTCTTATCTTCAAGCAGTCTGCAATATTTGTTTAGAATTTCGTTGACGGTCACTGTTAATTTTGAAAAGGATTACGAAATATAGAGATCGGTTTTATCTATGGCTTGGTTGTGAGTAATCGCTGAATTACATTTAAATAAGTGTAGTAAGCTCATTTAAAGTAACCGGCTGTTACGTCACACGTGACGATTGGGGTGTTTATTTCTCGTCTTAACCTCTTTTTAGGCTTCCTGTTCGGAGTGATGGAAATGTTGAAGATTGGTCCTATTTATTATTATTTTGCGGAGTTGCTATGTGCGAGTTTATCTTACCACCACTAGCGTCACACAAAATGACTGAGGGAAGATTAAGTTATACCGATAGCCGTCACAATGCTTAATGATATTACATTCAGCGAAATACATTGTACAATTGTACAAGGCTTTATTCAGAATATTAACGGGTTGGAAAAAACGATGAACATGTCCAGGACATTCTTGATTGACTGCTTGTGGCTGTCATTCTTTTGCGGAAGGATACAGCACAGGTGAAAACTATAACTTAGTGACCGGGATTTGGTTGAGTTGTATGATTCATGTAGGTATGCTTTTGTTACAGAAAGCTGATCAGAGAAGCTTAGTAACTACTTTTTCTATGGATTTATTCCCTAAATGTCATTTGGTAGACTCCGGTATTCTTAACTTCTTTTTTACTACTTTTATAATTTTTTCACCAATTCTGTAGATTCCTTACCAGAGGAAGATGAAGGTGGTGAAAGTATAAACAGATGTAACATACCTGTGCACAGTAGATCACTTCCTTTTGGAAAAAAATGTCGTAAACGTAAATTTGTTAATAGTTTATCCAAAAAATCTACATTGGAGACACCATCTATCGACCAAGTACCAGAATCAGATCCAACCAGTATATCCACAAGTAAACAGGAGGTATCAACTGAAGTTCAAGAACTTTTTGCCGTCAAAACGCAGGTTAGATATGAATGTGATTTTTTGTTGGTTGATTATCATCTGTTAACCTATGCAACCTTTGCATAAAAATAAACAAGTGTTGGTTGCTAATCTCTTAGTATACTACTCGGAAATCTAAAGAATTTGGTTGAAAATGATTGAGAAGTATAATAACCATTATTTATTTGAGTGGTTTTTGAGGAACTAACCGTCTTTATAGCAGTTTTCATTACAAACTGACGTCAGGTGGCGAACTGCTGAAAATCAAGAGGCACTGGAAAACTATTTCTCAGAAGTGTCCACGCATAACCTTAAATAGAACTGTACCGAAGACCATCAGGCCCCATCGGAATCGTTTTACCATCCGAACTTCAGAGTGAATTGATAAAATTGCATACTTTTGAGGAGTCTAATACTAGAATGAAATATCTATTCAGTAATTTCTGATTTTCAGTCCTTCTGTAGCTGACTTTCATGTGTAATCAAAAAACCACCTTAAAACAAAACCGTTTTGATGGATACTGATAAGTTTTTAACTGGTATTAAAAAAGTCACGATGAGAACAGTAATTTAAATAACAATATCGTCAATGGGTGGATGGGAACAAGGGTAAAGACTACATTAAATTTCTTCTCTATATAGTTTCTCAAAGTGAAATATATTCATTACCTAAAAATGACACAAATGTTATGCATATCTTCGTGTATATATTTTAACCCACGTACTTACAAAAGTAAAATATTTTTAATATTTAATATTTTAATACATCAATGCACAATGAATGATTAAAAATCATCTTGAAAAGCAATCATAATTCAGACATGATTGGACAATCAGATGAACTACAAGGTTTTGACGTGCTATATGTAGTGTACTTTTTGATTATTTCTCTGAAAAAGCTGGGACCAAACTTCCCTGCGAAGCTTTGGAACTATTTATTTCCAATACGCTGAAATGTGTAGAAATATAAATCATATTCATTAAGTACGTTCTACTTATACATTCAGAGTATTATTTTTCTCATATGACATGTTCCTTATATGTTTATGTTTTCTACTTTCTTAACACAGGTGTTTTCTGTTAAAGATAAGCAAAAGGAATCCCTTTTAACTCCCAATGATATCCGTGAGTATTGTGGACGTCTGTTTGAAATAAAAGTGGAAGATGCAGGCATTCGAAGGTATTCTGATATTTTGTAGTGTTTTTCTTTGTGAATTTTAAAAACCTGAATTTATTTCCGAAATTTATTTTTCTTGAATTTTGAGGTTTGTGGGGATGTAGTGATCTTTCAAGTTGGTACTCATCATGAACTGACATCGGTTAGGGGAGCATCGGAAACCTGGGAGCACTGGACAGCTGATTCGTCCTATTATGGGGCTTCTCAGCAGCGACTATCCACAACTCCTGCCCACCAGAGATCAAATCCAGGACCTTCAGGTTCTGTGGCCAGTACGTTACCATTAATCCACCGATACAATGGTCCATATTTCCAACTTCCATCAGTTCACAACAAACTTGGTTGCTGTGAGGACAAATGCTCAACGATGACATTGGGTGTTGGTCGCGCTATGTCGTGAACTGGCAGAAGTTGGAAATATGGATCAGTGGTAACATGCTGGCCACGGAACCTGAAGCTCCTGAGTTCGATCCCTGCCGGTCTCACGGGTGTGCACTGCTGAAGAGTCCGACACTAGGACGAGACAGCTGTTCAGTGCCCCCAGGTTTCCAATGTTCCCCTAACCGATGTCATTTTATGATGAATACCAAATTGAAAAATTTATTTTCAACAAAATTCAAAACTTTTTTAGTGATCCAGGGAAATATTATTTGTCGATACTTGCAATTCTCCGTTGTTATCATGGATCGAACTAATCGATCTCTGTTGGCGTATGGGCTCCTATGCAGATGCCAAGATATTGCCTGAATATTTGTTGTCATAATTAAATTGATGGGGGCTAGCAGGGGAATCCAGAACGTACGTTTCGTCTTATTTGGGACTCGTCAGCTGAATGTACCTGCACTCAAGCGAGTGATGTTGTACCCACCGATACTCGAAGCATCAATCAATAATAATACATACTGACGTTGGAATATTCCGTAATTAATTATATTATAGCTTGTATTCAATTCTCTCACCTGATCTAAGGTGTCAAACAAAGATACCTAGTTGTTAAATCAGTAGCTAAAGGGTTCCCTTTATGCTAAATTTACTGAGAGATTGTTCATAGAACCTTAGACTTTATTTACAGCAACATTTGTATAAAATATCCAATTTATAACTGAAACCGAACAACAAGTTTGTGCCACTATACAGACTTGCTGCAACATCATCATTATAAATTTTGGTTTGTCAGGTAGAAGTTTATTCATATTCAGTCACAAGAATGACTTACAAAAATAAAGGATATTACCAACCTCAGTTACACAGTATAGTTGAATTTTGTTATGATAATTATCCTTGAAGATATCAATCAATTGTTTGAATGATTTCTGCTTTGATGACATTTTTAAGGAGTCACAAGATTATTTTGTCTTCTGCCTTTGAGATTTACGTAATTTAAGTATTTGGATTTCAGACAGTTAAGTTGAAATCCAATTCAACTTCTCAATGATTTAATCTCAGCTGTCCAAATAACTAATGAGTTCTCACTATTGAATGTCAGTTTGCTAGTACTATAATATAAAAAAAACATTCCTCTGACTTTTATTTTCATTAGGCGAACGATCAACTTTATCCTTCAATGTTTCATTACCCTCGGTATATTCCTAATAGGCAATAGTATTATTTCTGAGAAACTCAACCTAAAGTTTTTAAAAATGGTATGCCATAATAGTCGTTTTCAGCGTTCAAACTTTATATGGAAAGCTTTTTCAGCTTCATGAGAGCTATTCTCAACGTTACATCTATAGAGTGCTCTCAATACCCTGTAAATGCACCAAGAATTTCGTATATTTTCATTATTTGTCAGATTGCTAGTAGACTGGTTATGGTTTAACACCATACACAAACATCTCTGATTTGATATCAGTTCAAGTAACTCATACCAATTTTCAATGTACATTATTTAAGCGAATATAATGGTTCACATTACCCATATTCATATGCTTGTTTTCACCAAAGACCAGTAGATTTGGTTGACATCACTAAAGCATTATAAGATTCTTATTCCACTCTTGCAAAAAAAGTATCTTCTGTAACAGATCATCATTAACTTATTTTATTGAGGGACGTAGTTTTCACCATACAGTTAAGGTTAAATGATCATTGATATTCTTGTTTCTAGCGAAAATTCTTTTTTTAGTCCGTCTATAGACCAGAATATTGCACACTGTACTACTAAGTTTATTCCTAGAGTAGCTTTTGTTACACAGTGAATACACTTGAAGAACCATCGAGAAAACTTGCGAGCATGCTGAACAACTATTTCATCTTACTTTTGCATTCTTTAATAGTCCTAAGGAATCAAGCTGTCTAGTGCTCGAAAATTTTCAATGATTCTCCAATTAGTCGTGTCAATACTAAATAAAAATTACTCAGATTAGTCAGCCACTACAAACCACCAGTTTTACCTTCAGTATGATAGAATTTTATCGGTAGTGAGATCTTTTATGATTCTATTGTCATACTATTGAATTGTATTAGTTGGTTGCTTCTCATATGCTCTCCTATTTTTTATTCCAGTTAATTGCTTGAAATAAAGATGCACCAAAATACAACTTTATTCTTTTTACTTTTTAAAAAGAAACCGTAAACCCAACATTTCAAAAGAACCTACAAAGGAAACAGAAGAAGCACAGAAACCACTGTTAATGATGGTAGGCAGCAGTAGTATTTCTGTTACATGATTCAGTTTTATTCTTTCTCAGTCACTAGTGTTTGGTAAATTACTCATATTGCTTAGTGTGGGGACTGTACTTTTTTAAACTGATTTTTACAAAATAGACTTGTCTCATAACCTAGTTGATTGTTATTTAGTTGAATTAACTTAATTAATTCCATGTTCCATACAACGACAGTGTTGGATGCAAAGATTAAATTTGATACCTGCTTGTATATTCATGGTTTACAGTATAAACGTTCATTACAAAATCTATATGCTTTAGATATCTTTCATATATCATATAGTCATGAATGACTAGTTTTCAAAAAATATTTACGAATCATAGAAGCACAGTCTTGAAGTGAAATTTTTGATCCTCTCAACTGATTCAGCCGCTGGTTTGTTTAGTTTATGAAGTATTTGCAACATACAGTGTGCTAAATATGCTTCAAATCTGATTAATATCCAATATGGTATAGATTTACTACAATTCCATTTCCCATGTTAAAGATTGTACGCTGTGGAAGCTGGAAGGTTGGGACACTAGAGACATGCTCTGGGCAAACATATAAAAGGTTGTTAATGACATTTTCTCACAATCATCTCTTAACTCATGTATTGAACCCTTAAAGTCAATAAATCTTAAGTTTTTCTGTGCTCTTCCGGATGACTTTCTTTGGTGACTATGGGTTTGGATGTTTATTGTAGCCTTGGAGAAGCTTTATTCATTTATTCTAACATTTGTTTACTTTGTAGACTACACAAAGTGTGACTTACATCATCAAAAGTCTACTATATGTGAAACAATAACTAATCTGTACAAAGGAGTATTGTATGTAGCAAATGACCACTTACGAGCTGTAGTTCGAAGAACACTGTTTGTTTTTAGCACTTATCACAACTTTATCTGACCAGTCTTAGCTTCTTGTGCAAACGAAGGTCACTAGCCTGACTTATTTTGACCTTTAAAGTGATTTACAAGCCTGAAATTCAATAAACTAGGTCAGTTTAAATTATCATTTAACTATTTGAGATAGCCGTAGTTTGGCAGACTAGTATTCTAGGTTGGGTAATGGGTGAAGATGAGATGAAAATTTGGACTGTGGCCGGATTGAAACCAGCGGCCACCGGGTTACCAATCCGATATTCTACCAACTGAGCCACGAGGTCCGACTGCTAACCAGATTTTCATTTCACTTCAATCACCAGTGATGTTTGCCCGACTACTATATGAATTCGTGACACATTACTACCGCTTGATCGTATTCACACTGGCTATCTAGTCAGGACTTCTCATCACAATCCGGCCGCGATTCAAATTTTCATCTCACCTTTAATCATCACCCAATATATATACTAGTCTGCCAAACTACGGCTATCTCAAATAGTCAAATGATAATCTATATGATACTCCCCCTTTCTAATTCAGTTAGATTGGGATGAGAAGTTTTGACTAGATAGCCAGTGTGAATACGATCAAGCGGTAGTAATGCGTCACGAATTCATATAGTAGTCGGGCAAACATCACTGGTAATTGAAGTGAAATGAAAATCTGGTTAGCAGTCGGACCTCGTGGCTCAGTTGGTAGAACATCGGATCGGTAACCCGGTGGCCGCTGGTTCGAATCCGGCCACAGTCCAAATTTTTACCTCTCCTTCAGTCATCACCCAATATAAGATTAGTTTAAGTTAACGACAATGTGTATCTGTTTGGATGAGGTTGTAAAGCATTAATACATGCTTAACAACTGTTTGAGTTCAGTAATAAACTAAATCATCTCTGTGGTGTTACAGTTGAAAATACCATACGAAAATAGATTTAAGATTAATCATCAGAATGCTGAAATCTGTAGATGAATACTAACTACACCTACAAGATAACTATGAAATAATGGTGACCTCTTTGATTTCAGCTAACATCCTATAAACTCAGTTCTACTGATTGGTTGCTTAAATAAATACATAATTTCAAACACTCAGAAAATGGCTACTGAGATGTTCTGTCTCCAACGGAATCAAATATATGAGCGAGCTGCTTAATGGTTCTTAGTGAAGATTAGATCGGAACTGACATCTGTAGTACCCATAGAAAAAACATAAAGAGTCGGCGAAAATAGAAGTTCGACTGTATAACTGGTGGAAACAGGCTTTGAATTCTTAAAGTACTGAATACCTCTATTGTTTGGACTTAGAGTATCACTTTATTTCTACTACTTTCAGACACAAGTTTAGTTTTATGCAGTGAAAACTGGTTGTTAGAACCCTGAAAATTTCTGAAAAAGCACAATAAAACTATATCCTGTAATGCAGTTCTATTCTGAAAGTCCTGATAATTCGGTGTGATTTAACTTTACACCAAACACACTTTATATCTTTCGTTTAAATCTCATCGTTTACTTGAAAAGATGACAGTCATAGAAGACTTACCTGCTTGGAGAACTGAGTTTATTGGTGACAGGAAAATGTCAGTTAGATCAAGAGATTCATTAATCTTCCAGTAGGTAATTTCTATAACTTACTCAAATCATCGAGAATTCCTATACACTATTGTTACAGACCACATAATTTGCATTTGTTGCATACGAATCAGCTGATCGGCTTTATTCTATTTTAGTTTTCTTTGCAGTTCTTCATATCCCTAACAGAAATCTCACGTATTTACTTTTTCTTCCCACACACCTAATTTTAGTCGGAACAAGCTAAAGTTATTCGATATCAGATACCATCGGTTGACGGTAATGTTTCACGACAAGAACCTAGAGGTAGGTGTTTATTTATATTACAACCGAAGTAAGGTGGATAGTTTTCAGTTTCACAAAATTATTATGTAGAAGTCTACTTCTTGGTTGTTAGTTAGTGAGATATTGTTTTCTACTTTTCCTCCACAACGTGAGATCCATTCAACATTTCTGTCTATTTCAGCAAGTAGTACTAAACTCTTATTCATTTCTGGTACACTTCCAACGTCCATTACTGCTGATGTTTCAAAATACGTTGTATCTGATACGATTTCTAATATTTTTTTCCCAATAGATCTGACAACTTTAACGTATACTGCTGCACACACCATAACTGAAAAGAAAAACGGGTGAATAAGAAAAGTAGTTTTATTGCTGTGGTTTTAGCTTTTTGCAGTGAAAAGTTTTTACAAGATGTTTCCACAAGAAGTCGTTATTACTGATCTACCAAAAACGGCTACTCCTGAGTTGTCACCGTCAAATGAGATTTTATTACATTCGAAAAGTTGGGGTCAATCAGCGTTCTTATTAGTTTGGGATTTCGCGACAGTCACTTCTGTCACCAACATTATTCTGGATCGACAAATACTTTTCCTGTGTTACCTACACAAAGACTGATAACTGAGAGGCCGTAACCATTTTTTGTGGATCACTGGTTCATCAGTGCTTCATTTACTTCTGATTTTAGAGGCTCAGTAATATCACTAGACCCTCAGTTTTAATGTTCAGCTCATTACATAAACCCATACGAGGTTAATGAATTACATTACTTCAGTTTGGAGATTTGTGGGGATTGATTAATTTCAAAGTGGTATCATAAACTGGCATCAGTTGGGGAGAACCATAGAACACTTGACGTCTCAAAAATAAACAATCTTCGCAAGCTCCAAACTAAACACTATTCAGTGCTCATTAATGACATGCTTCGAGATGAGATTTCCCAAAGTTCTAACGAGAAATCGTGATCTGTGGGGCAAAGCAACTCAGGCACGAAGAAAGATACTCGACGATAACATTAGTTGGTGGTCACGCTGTCGCAAACTGACAGAAGTAGGAAACTGTAGACCATTGGGTCCTGATTTATAGGTCGAATGAATGGTAACGCGCCTACTGCGAGACCTGGAGGTCGTGAGTTCAGTCTATGGCGGAGTTTCGGATGCACTATGCTGAGGAATCCTATATTAGGATGAAACAGCTTTCCAGTGCTCTTAGGCTTTCAATGGTTCTCTGGCTGGTGTCAGCTCGTAATAAATAACAACTAGGAATTACATTATTGTTAGTATAAGTACTTTTCTTCGAAGTCCACATTTTGTGGATAGTCTTGGTTAACTGATCTGATAAACGATGTTGTAATATCGTGAACTATTTTCATTATCTCACATAAAACAGTAGTCATTGCGATAGTCCAATTGCATTCCTTTCTTTACCTAGGGGAGTTAGAAACATTGGTTCATAAACTAAACTGGTCCAGACAAATTAAACCTGTGTGTTTTTCAGAATAAAGATAAAACTTCAGTCAAAGAACTGACTGGATTATTCAAGAAGGTATGGCATACTGAGAGTGCTACGTCACTGTGGCGTGTTACCGTCATTGTTCCCTTCCTTAAAGAAGGATCTATGTATCATGTGCAATAATCTTCAGGATATCAGTTTTTCACCACTTCCATTCGAAATATTGACTACTATCACACTGCTTAAGCTTTGTGAAATACAGGAAAGATGGTTCGTGATGAACAGATGGTTTTCTTCAGGTCGTGGATGCATTTATCGCATGTTCATCCTATATCAGATAGTTGGACACTACCACATATGTTGCAGACCGATGATTTTTGTTTCTTCATATTAGGGCTTCTTTCTGTTTGCCGGACATGACTCTACTCTAGAATTATCTGTTGTAGACGGGTATCCGTACGAGGTTAAAACTCTTGAGCGCCTTAGGCAAAATCATCTTAAGTAACATGGGAGTATACAACCACCTCTTTCCACGGTTGCAAACTAACCGTAGGATTTGAAGGGGCTAACTGACTTCACCATTCCCCTTTAGATTTGTCATCGATTACATTATCGAGACACGTCTGAATAACTGGTGTGAAGGTGTTGTGGATCTGCTACCACGTAAAAGACTTCCTGACCTCAAGTTTTTGGATGAAATTGTCTCACCATGCGACAACATACAGGCTACTGAAATCGCACTCAGTTAGTGATCATCGTTTGTGTGATATGTGCCTTGTGCCGTCAAGATAAAAAGTGCATCTACAAGATTCGGAGGAGCCTGTACCTGCCTCACTCTTGAAGTTGTCTGTAAGTTTGTGTGCCTGGACAACTGTAAATGCTAGTGGGGTTGTGATGGAGAAAATTCCAGATAATTTATCAAAAGTCAGAGCGGAACACACCAATTTGAATCATCTTTGGCACCGTTGTGACATTAATTTTGCTGCTGAAGTCAATGTATAACACATCAATATAAGCAGTTTCGCTGTATACCTGTGTGACGTGACCTATCTGAGCTGAAGGTATCTGATGACCTGATATGTTTGACGGTCGTTGTTTCTGTAGGATTGGCAACTGGCGGAAAGTATGTGACAGTTTCTAGTGTTCGATGTTGGGCTTTTACGTGTGATAGAGATTGTTATTTAATTAGTAAGGTCATCTTGAAAGCTTTGGTGATTCCAACAGGTGTGTCACAACTGTTATCCTAGTGACTGCAATACCAATCACTATTTATTCACTCTGGGTCTGGTTAGGAGATATGGAGTGATAGTCAGTGCACGACGTGACATCGTGTTGTGAAGTATAATTAACTAGTTAGCATCCAATAGTGCGTCAATAATTTTTGAGTAGGATCAGAGAGACCATGCAACGCAATGGCTTGAAATATCATGTGTCTTGGATTGGAAACCAGTGGTGTTCATGCTGCAACTTCCTTGTTTTTTCTATCATGGAAGATAGGAGCGAGAGTAATGAATACTTTTTTGAATGGATCTCTGAAGCTGCTTCTCTAATAACCCACTTCTACTTATTTTTCACTTTTTCATCTCTATGTTGCTGTATTATTTTGTATTGTGCAGCTCTCGGTGGTCATGTTGCATCATGTTTGTTTTAAATCGTAAGTAGGAAAATAAGTCTTGCGTATTTCTGACTTCTAAAAGATTGGTTGAATTAGAATAGGCAGATAATATAGTCCTAAAATGCGAATACGTTGGCAAAATACTAAGTCTTCTGAATATATTGAACGAAAATGTCAAATGAAAGATAATACTTGAGAAGTGGCGTGCACCGACTGTTAGTCGAAGTATAAGTGGAGTAAATTGATGGAACGTATTGGTCACTTCACTGAATTGATAATTTGCATCAGTCCTCATAGGCTGATCAAGGACGCGTAATCTCGTCTTTCAGCAAGAAATTCTATTTTTAGCTGGATCACATATTCTATGCTGGAGGTTTGGATGACAAAGCGAATCCAGAGATTCTTATATTGTAGTCTTCTTTTTCTTTATTGAAATAAGCACTAACCAAAGTCAAAATAAGGACATTTATAGATATCCACACCAAGTTGATATATGGTAGTAGGGAAATGATCATTTTTTTGATGAATATATCTCGCTTTGTGATTGTTACTGTTATTTATTACTTCATAATACCTATGGTCTACCATTTCTGTATCTTGTATTTCATAGTCTTCTCAAATAAATAAAGTTTTTACTTTAAAACGAAAAAAGTGAACAAAAAACGACCACTGGACATCTGTCTCATCTTACTTTGTATCTGCTTGATGATAGTGTGTACCTCATACCCCCAACAGGAGATTCAATTCAGAACCTTCAGGCCACGTTAAACTAAAATTAAATAGCTATCTGGTCTTCAATTAGTCGTCGAGAAAAATAAGTCGTGTATTTTCATGTATGGTTTTACATTAAGTTCATGAGAATTATGTATATAGTGTTAAGTTTATAACTGTTTCTTTTTTCTAGAGGGTATGATCAATATGATAGGCAAATCTTACGTGTGCATTCTTCATGAGTATTGTCAAAATGTTATGCGTCGTCAACCCACTTATCAATTAACGGTGCTTGAAAATGATAAAAATCCGTATCAGATAACAATATTGATCAATGGCAAACCATATGGAACTGGCAATGGACAAAGTAAGAAGTATGCAAGGTCAGAAGCAGGTAAGTAGAACGTTTACTTTATACTTTGTGTATTGTTAAAATATCGTTCCACAGTTCGTAAGATTTTATCAGGACAAATTTAAACCAAAAAACACTGTATATGATAAGCCGCAGTATTAATTGATAAGATAAAGGATGATCACTAAATATGCATTTACAAAAATATCAAATTCCAACACTCCGAATCAGCTGCACATTTTGTTGGGTAGAACCTTTTCAGAAATGTCATTTGTTGACTATCAATAACGGCACCATAACTCTTTCAAGGGATATGTTTAGTAGTGTAGTTTTGAGCAAGAAATTAGCACTGTAGCATATTTCGATCTTTCAAAAAGTTGATACTAAAAACTTCCTTTTTGTTTGGTCGAATATTGTCTTCAAATAGCGGAGGAAGTGATATGAGCACGTTCTCTTTTCCAGAGACACTTTCGAACTTGGCATTTAACTACCAAACCAATTCATATGCTTTATTTTAGACGAAAATATAGCTTCAGCGTACCTCACTCATCACGCACATCCCCACTACATAAATTTAAGCTTAACTGTTGGCTTTCAAACGGAATAATATTTCAATTTTTCAATTCTTTGCACCGACAAAATAAAATTAAACGCGGTTTGAGTTCATTCATGTAGCGAAAAGTTTCTTGCAGATTTTGTGTCACATGGTGTAGTTTCGGTAACTTAACTATAGTGGGCGTTGCTGATCAGAATGGATATAAGTAGTATATGTTGAGAGGGCGGCAGTAATCATAGGAATTACCAACAATGGGTAAGGATTCTGTCCAGAAAAACGCAAGAGACCATTTGGGCGTATTAAGAGCAAATAAAGATAGAAGCTGAAGAGGAAATGAAGTACATTATGCAAATGACTGTCTTAGTACAAGCTGTACCACACGCTAATAATAAACATTCCTTCCTTCGTATCTGTCTTCTCGTTTCCTTCACAACCATAATTCTGTTATCTTTAAAGATTCAGTTATCTAAAACTTATTCGTTTCGATCGAATGATTGGACTCGTATGTATCGTCAGCTTGTTACGGAATCCCAGCGTGAGCACTGCAGTTAGGAAGTAAGTCAATTATTAAGGTGATTAGATATGTGGCATACACATACCCGTTGAAGTGACTGAGTGAATAGTAAGAAATACGTGAACGATATTACGGCAATGAGACATTGGGAATGGATAAGAACGGTAACTGTTCTCCGTCACAACCTCATACTTCAGTGAGCCACGAAAATCAGAAAACTAGACGCGCTTATGACTGTAAGAAAGACACGTTATTCAATGAAAATACATCATGTATGTACTGTTTTCATGAGAAAATAAAACCACCAGTTCAAAAGTTGGATATTTATTTTAATGGGTTAACTGTAAAATAAATTGTCCAATAAAGGTTTTCCTGACTACACAGTAACACGAAACAAAAGTTAAAATCGAAAACTTCTACTTTAGTGACTGATGACTTAGAATGTTGATTTTCATTTATGCTGTTTCCTATCACCCGTGGAACTCCAAGTTAAGTAAAAGCAAACCAGTTTCTCATGCTGGGATACGGTATTAGTGTATGACTTCTGTAACGCCCAGTCTGTTTTATATGAGAGTGTAGTTTTCATGGTTAGTTTCCATGAGGCTTCTGAAACCGTAGGTACTTTAACTCAGATGCGGTTATTCTTTGTCTTTATCTAAAACCTTATGATTGTACCATTACTTCCCTTGACTGATAATCTTTCATGCAACTGTTAGAACTATTATTTTCATCTATGTCCTGTTGTTCGTCAACTTTTCTTCAAGATTGATGTTTGTCGCTTCGGACAGTTACATAATATTGTCGCGTTTTATTCCGTTCACGCTATATTCTCATGGTGTTTAAATGTGACGAACAATAGATTGAGGTTAAGTGATGTGATTCTGATTCGCTTCAAGCAAGCGTATTTCCTGGTACATTCTCCTAATAAGTTTTTAATATGTTTCAAAATAGTAACCAGAATTTCCCTCTTTAACTTTCACACGTATCAGCTGGGATTCATAAACTTGACGTATCCGCTATTTTGTTTTCTCTATGTTTAAAGCCTACTCAATCACTCTTTTTTATCCACTCATTCTCTGCATGCTACTTCGAAGCGTGACAACCTGAGTCGATGCACTTCTGTTCAAAGTTCTACCTTTATCTATCTGTCTGATATGATTAAGCCATTCAGCTCAGAAAACGTGAGGCAACCAAGAATGCTTCCATCGTTCAGCGCTGTTGACGTGTTACCATTAAGTTGCCCTTATAGCAATCCGCCTGGATTGACGTTCATTATATAGGAGGGGGGACTAAATTAAGAGGCTGACTTTCACCTCATAAATAATTTGTGTTTTTAGGTATTTTGAGACGTCATTTTAGGGATTTATCATTCAGTATTGTTAGCTACTGCCATAAAATTAAAAAGAGTTCTCATGGTTAAAGACTTTATGCAACAGCGTATAGCGGTCTCTATCTTTAATCCTTTATTTTGTTATATATTTCCCTAAAAAATATTCATTTTCTTTTATTTCACTTTGCAAAGCTCGGAAAGCGCTAGAAACTCTAATCCCTGATTTTCAAAAAATTGTTGGCTCAGATTCAAACCAGACTGTTCCAGCTGTGGTTTCTGATCGGGATATGCAGTTGTTCGAGGCTATTTCAGTAACTGATCCGCGTTTATATGAGTTGTCTGTACGCATGGCGCTGCCCACTCCATATAATCTACTTGTTGAGTGTTTAAGCCGAAGTTGTGTGCCTGAGTCCGATTTGAAGTCGAATATGACATCTCAAGGACGCAGTAAACATTTTTTCACTTTACAGCTTAGAGAACACACGGTTAAAGTAAGATCTCTCATATTGAATATTCAACCTTTTCTTGACACCCATATTTACTTACCTATTATATATAATCTAATTATTGGTTTAAAAGGATGGAAAATTTGAAATTTTCGCATGTTTCATGTTTGCAAACCTTCGTATCCATGATCACAGTATGAGGATAAACATTTTGTTCAAGGACATATCGTCACCTGAATAATCAGTTGAGGCTTATACACTAGTTAATCATTTTGTTTGATAGGTATGTTTTCAAAAACAAGTTTTGTTTTCAGTCAACTGAGAATATTTCAGTGGTCACTGAAATAATCTATCGTTTAAAACTTTATTTCCCGTATGTTCATTTCCAACCAGTAACCGAAATGGTAGAGATTGTTGAGTTATCTGGTTCTCTTGGTTAATTTATACGTTACGTTTTATTTTTTATTCTATTGTCTTTATTAGCAAGTAAATTATCAGTGTTTTGCGTTATTTCGACAACAACTTTCTGAGCATCATTTTTACTAGTGATTGGTCAAAATTGTTCTCCAGTAAAGGTGTATTTCTGATAAGCTTCTATTCATCTATGAACGCTTTGAATGGAAACTTATGAACTGAACACTATGTAAAATGTTAACGCATAATCACATCTTTGAGATCAACGAATTTATCACATGATGTGGTATTTAAACTTTTATGAATTCAGAAGATGTTCCGGTACATGGTATTTTGGTGGATTTTATGTTTTTTCAGCTCACCAGCATAAAAGTGAACGAACTCAAGTTTTAGCCTAAACGGGTTTCAATAAGTTGTGAGTCAGTAGTATACTAATGAAATAAAATGCTTTACGTGTCGATTTTCGGTCTCAGTAACTCAAATTCAATTTACAATTGGCAACCTTTAGAAAATATATCAACTATATATACTTACAATCTGCAACTGTATTTTACTAAATAACACATTCTCTCTGTTGACTTACATTACTTTGTACGGATTACGTACCAACTAAGCTAACGCGCATGTGTAAAATTCTTTTTTTATAAACCTGAAACTGCAAGAAATTGAATTCATTGTATCAAGATACAGGTTATATTTGAAGCAGTTGATAATATTTTTAGCAGGCCTAAATTCTTACAAGCTAGACACACTAACGAAATAGGTTTTGAGGTTCAACTAAACTTTAGTGACGTCGAATCACGTTCAAGTATGCACTAACCAGCCGAATATGAAGGACAAAGTAGTTATTAAGGAAAATTGTACCTTATTTACAATTAATAGATGTTTCACATGAGAAAAATATCTAGATTTTTAATAGGTTTGTCATCTTTGGAACCATACCGGTGTCTATATTGCCACTCATTTATATGAAAACATAAAATATCCCCTAGTGATCCTGTTAATTAAGGGTCTTAGAAACCTTCTAAGGCGATTTCACGTGTTTTCAACATTGTTTGTGTGCACTCCAGTTGTGCGATGAATGAACTGGTTCTTGTGAACAATAACTTGATGGGAATGACTCATTTTAGATAATTGCATGTGTAACTTCCAAGCATCAGTGTATTTTGTTTCGCCAGATGCTACCCATTTTTTCTATAACTGGAAGGATTGATTCTTCTGATCTATCCTTTATCCACTGAAAGTGTCTACCCTTTTTTGGTGTATACTGAGAATCTATGACTTGTCAATATGTATTTATGTAACTTACCCAGTCCTGTTTAAGTCATCTTCCTCGGTTACACTTACGTTTCCGAACAGGACATTCATCTATTTCCACCACACTGCCTACTCCACCAAACTTCGCGTCCCAGATATAGATTATTTGGGAGCAAATATCTCAGCAGTTCTGATAACCACTGCACTGAAGAAACTTCACTCACATCTGTCAGAGCTCCTACTGATATTACAGGTGTTCCGACAACCCAATGCAGCACTAAAATCATTATTTTTTGGAGAGTTAGATAATATCCTTTAAAAAACGACCATGTTCTCAAGGATTTCTTCTTGTAGCAGGTAGCACAACGAAAGATGACATCATATCTTCTGTCACTGCTAGATACACAATCCATTACAACATCGCATTCACAATTAAGATTTCTCGACACCAATCCAGCTGTCAGCAAGTAAACCATGTCATAATTTATCAAACGCTTATACAGAGTCAGAAACATTGTAGACAAACACAACGAATGACTTTCACCCCAGCATCCGCAAACTGACTGGTCTTCCTCAAGGTTTCTCGTCACTAAAGTGTAGTCGAACTAGTTTCGGTTTTCTTTCGGGCGCCATCAAACGTAGTGATGCTGTGTATTATTATTAAGTTACTTAATCCCTTTTAAGTGAAACGACTACCACTAACTGCCAGTGAACAGCACTTCCTGACCAATATTTACTAAAAAAACGGCACTTTGAAAACGTGGTGTCAAGTCTGCTTGTGCAATGAACTGTAATGCCACTGTTAATTTCATAAACAAACGGAGATAGTTTGTTATCCGTTTGTATCGTATGTCAACATCGATATACTAGCCTTTGGAAGTATTGTTCTTTATAGTATCTCGTTTTTTATCTGTGCATATCGTTTCCCTGCTGGCGTTGTTCTAAAGGTTTTTGTAGCAAATTTTCCTGATCTGCATTGGAATAGTTAGAATTCGTGGGAAAATTCTCATTTCTGCAGACAGAAATTTTAAGAATGGATGCACTAAAGAGGAACATTTATACTATTCTAAAACTTTTACTTAATAGCATGTAGTGGTAGCTTTATAGAGACAATGCAAAGCATATGATGCCTTCAAAGTTGATCCATTCTGAACTCAGAATATTACGCCACATATTCTAACTCAGCATACGTAAGTTATGGCAGTCTCATTTTATTTTGCTTTCACGAAATGACTGTGACTCAACTAAGTAATCATGTATTTGACTAGTTTTCATATTTTAACTTACAGCTTGCTTAGCTTTCTTGCCCTACTAGGCATTCGTATTCGTATCTTCTGACATTTTTAACAGAAAAGTTGATATAGCATCATTCGATTGGTAAGCATTTTCATTACTTAAAAGTGTTATAATCGTATTGATCACAGGTGAGATGTAAAAACAAGAGGGAAGGTCGACATTTAGCAGCTCAACATCTCTTGGCTCGTCTACATCCTGAAGTTAGTACCTGGAGCGGTCTGTTGCGTATTTATGGCCCAGGCAGTAAACCGGACAAGCGAAACGAATTAGAAACAATACAGGATGCACAAATCCAACAGAAGTCTGCTGTCAAAGCTAGTCTGATTCGTTTGTTAAAGGCAAAAATGAGTGAACTAGCGGATCAGTGGGTATGTCTCCGTTTTCGTCAGAGTCTATACTGTGTATGTGACTTCGTTTCTCTTAGTGTGTATGCCTTGTGTGTCTATATACATATAATTCAAGTTTACCAAATAGCCACTACAAGAATATAAAAAGTGGCAATGACGTTTTAACAAGTGGTAACAGGATATAACATAAAGCGACCTATTTAATCATCACAATGATTTGTGACTTTTTCGCCTAGTCGGTGGATGCTTTTCGTTCACAAAGTCAAGTAAAACCATATTAATTTATGTCATTTACAAGTATAGTCATTTTTCAAAGCATTCAATAGTAGATCTTTAACTGTTTTACCCACACTACTCATTGGAGCATCGAATATTTTGAAAGTAATCTGCATTGATGACGTTCTGGAGCTTCCCCTGAGTTTCTTTCTTATCATCAGTACTTCCAGTTGTAGCTTCAACTGACTCAAAACTTAGATCTGTGACCGTAGATTGTTTTTGAAGATATTCAAAAAATCACCTTGATAAATTAATAAGAAGATTTCTGATCTTTTTGACAGTATTCCAGATAAAATAGCACAGTCTCATACAATTCTGCCTTTGACTTAACAGTATTTCACTTCTCCTCAGGTTAATCTTCATTGCTTCTTTTTCTTCACGATTATACTTTCAACTTGCTCCTCAACACCTCTACATTTACGAGTCGAAATATATATTCAGTTAGCAAGATTCTGTCAAAATGCAATTAAATTGATTTAAAATTTACGAATTGTTTTACCAGCCTACTGTTACTCTCTGTTTCGTCTGAGTAATGACTTTTTTTTATTAATTCGAATTTACGTCAAAGAAATAACCATGGTAACTTCGGTTTTCGTAATGTTACTGGATAGCTAAAGTAGTTTTTGTTTTTTCCCACAATTTAGGAAAAGTCCGGTGGAAACATGCATCCAAAAGGAAAGTTTTTTGTTTCACCTTACAATCTCCCGGTTGTGGCTTTCCATCCAGATTCTGAAGGTGATTTGTACAGTTCTGCACCTATGACGTCTGCATCTTCACCGGTATTGCCGCCAAAATCAGAGTGACTGGTCGTCGGTCAACATATCCATTCTTTGTCTTTCTTGTTAGTATTCTTACTTTTATCTGTTCCTCAGTATATTTCTAGATTATTTTTTGTTTTAATTAAATGTTTAGAAAAAACTAGCATTTTGTTTCAAATTTCTTATAAGTTACTAATCATTTCTCATCGAAGCAAATAGTATCGACAAAGAGTTTGCTGGTTAGTCTGCTACCAGTGTGCTAATAACCAGTCTCATAAAATTGTAGTGATTTTTGGTGGGACATATTGGCAAGTTTCTCTAATCGTCTAGTTGCCTAGGTAACCATGGTGAAGTAATTCATACTGTTCTTTATTCATACAAAAATGTGAGATGTGGAAACGTCATTACAGGTCAGCGACTTCTTAGTATTTACTTGTACTCGTTCTGAACTGTAGGTGTGATTTATTTGAGACTTTCGTTTAGTTCCGATCGCTGCGTCTGAAACTCTGGACGTTTATCAAACTCAATTGTCATACATAGGACTTTGTTTTCCAACCACAGACATTTCGTCACTTACCTTGTTTAGTTACTTCAAGTTAGTGAGTAATAAAATAGTCGTTCGCTTTCCTTTAAGTGGCACTACCTATGTACTGTCCGTTCCTCGATGTAAGAATGCTAACTGTCTAGCCAAATACCTGACTAATTTATAATAGCAACTGGATTGACTTTGAGTCGAATGCTTCTAACCGGGGTTCACATGAGGCGTTGGAGATACTCATTTCCGTCTACGAGGATATGTGCTTAACTCTAAGCTTTCAAATGCTCATGCAAACCTAATCAGCGTGGTTATTTTTATCTGGCATGCATACAAATAATCAAAGTTTCTTTATAGCTTTATGAATATTTTTTGAGAGTTGTGGTTTGACTGACATTTCAGTCTCATTTTTCTAAAGATTGTAAGCACGGTGTGTGAAATAGTCTGCCCTTTCATGATTCCAAGTACAAGAATATTAATGAAGCCTTAGCTTACAACAGATAACAATATTGGACAATGACACAGAGGAGCTAGTTGTCTAATGAAGCCCAGCAAGACGAGAAGATAATTGATTTATTATTGTTACACAACTAGGACTAACAATATAGTGGCTGACAGTTTATCTACGTCTTTTGAACGCAAAATAAAGGTGTCAAAGTCATATTTCTGTAATTGGATAAGTAACCGGAAGTCGGTCGACAGACGCATCTGATAAACCGCATCATTGAGGAGACCTCTGAATGCTAGCATTGTATTTCATCAAGTAAATGATATTTACAAGATTACTTACATTTCAAAGTGAACTGTGCTTCCTCCTGTAGGAATCACTTCTGATATCATAATATGAAGCCTGTGTACCCAAAGTCATGTCTTCTCTAGTATTTGTGAAGAAATGGGCAAATAGAAACTTAGATTGGTGTCACGCTGGGTAAGTTTGGTATTTTGTCCTACCAATTTAACCAGAAAACATCAACAAAAGAGAGTTAAAGACGGATAAACCCACTTCAAATACTTGTATTCCGTGGTGTAGTATAAATCACAAATAAAAATGTTGGTTTGAAGAAACATACAGTTGTACAGTGCAAAATATGTAAGATTTCCAAGTGCGAGTACGTGAATCTTACAAAATCATGTCTCAACTGGAATGTAAAAGTTTAATTAGTGTCCAGGAAGACTAAGTGATTTGCCAGCGTCCACGCCTTTCCACACGTTGTTATATTACCTTGCACTGCTCGCAACCAATCCCCTAGCTAGATAGTCAGGATGCACCGGTAGTCTGGCACGACTTCTCAAATATACTATTTCCATCTGATTACGCTACTATGTTTTTCCTTGACCCCGCACTCATGGATGTATTACAAGTACGAATAACTAGTCATGTTCACACATCAACAATTCCTACACTGGTAAGCCCGTTCTTTTTATACTTGTGCATCTTTGTTTTCATCTTTATATATCCATATTAAACTCCATGCCATGTGCGACCATACTTCGAAAGTAATCCACATCAAGCCGACAACGAACATCATCTAGCTCGTGCTATGCTGGTCAGACAACGCAGAAACATGGCTTCTGTATGCTGAAACAGATTTCCAAGAACGGAGTCACAGATTCTCATTCTCGATTTCTTGCTGCCATACGTTCTTTACCGCGGAAATCAAACAAGTACGTTACAGTCCATATATTTAGCTTTGAAGTAAGTGACCCCTGTGCACGTCTCAAAGCTGCACTCCTGAAGAAAAGTGGTCTCACAGATCGCCAGCGCTCAGACGAATTGCTTGGTAACATCCGGCTAGGGAAAACTTAGTTGCTGGTGTGCTGGCATGCATCTGAGAAGTTGTTGGGCCACGAATACTCGATAATGGCCTTTTCCGAGAACTGTTTATCACGAAGCTACCACAACCGGTGCAAACCGTGTTGGTGACACTTTACTCGGTTGTAACAGATGACTTGACAACCTCAGCGGATAGAATATTGAAGGTCTCTCTATCTTCAACGTGTATATGGTCTAAGAAGAACCTGAGAGCCAGGCTTCAGAAGTGACAGAACTATACAACTCGCTTAAACGGCTGCTACAAACCAGAAGCCCTAGGTTGAATAACACAACACAGGAACGTGTCTCAGTCCATGGTAGCAAATCACATGGTTGTCCGAAAACCCAACATTACCGGGCAGAAATTCTAAATGGAGCTGATTTCACACTACTTGTGGCGATGAAGCTAAAAATGATCGAAAAGCATGCGCTTTCAGCAATGATACAAAGCCAGGAACTGTCCCACCGGCACGCGTTAACGCAACCGTAGCCAGGGAATAAAACCGTTTGTTGTACGTCACCAACGCAATGACGAAAGTTCACTACCCCCTTGAAGTTAGCGAAGTTAGCCTTCTTCTCGCAGTGTCATCACTACCCATCCTTCAACAGGTAACAGTGAAGCGATGGCAACTTTTGGGAGAAGGTACGCCTACCTCAACTTGTGTTTACATAAACCTATCCACTGGATTTTCCTCTTAGCTGGTGTTTCAATGCCCATCGTTGGAATAGATTTGCTGAACCATTACAGTCTACTCGTAAATACTCGTCGTCGACGACTAACAGGTAACAACACAAAGTTACCTATTGCCCGTACCACCTATGTAAGCGTCAGGCTAGCCATAGTTAGAACTAGACACTGAGGAGACACGTCCTATGGGACAGTCTCAGAAAAATAGCCATGGCTACAGCAGCCGGCACATACTCTGCCGTTCATAACCAGCAATGCTTTGCATCACATCACAACCACAGGTCCACCTGTGGCATCCAAAGTATGTCATCTAGCCCCTGATAAGCTCAGAATGGCAAAAAGCGAATTTTATCAAATGCTTGAACTAGACACTATCGAAAGAAAGATTTAGCTAAAAACTTCGAAAACATCGTAAGGTAACCTTCAGTGATGGCAACAGGACCCAAATGAGGAACATATACTGCACTACTTCTTAAAATAATGAATCTGTGCTGCCAAGAAATCTACTATCTAACAAGTAGAAATTACCCATCCCATTGATTCATTTGACTCTGTCACCATATGAATATCTATCTGTCCCAGAACTGTTCAAATAAATTTCTGGACGGTCACAGTAGCGGCGAAAATCCGAACAAATAGTTAAATGCAAAAGATCACTTCATCTATTGATTCTAAAACGAACATATTCACGACAATGTTGTAGCGTCACACACCTCCCCAAAATCAATAGCCTAGGGTTTGACGACTTTCGACATTGATGCTGACCTTGATAGTTTAACTGGACTCGCTAAGCTGAAGGCACCCGGTCAAGCATCTTCGCCATTTTGGCATGCTGTCCTGTTACGTTGCACTGCTCGTATTCGACTCTCTAGCCAGTCAGTTGGAACGTATCAGTATCTTGGCACAACCATCCAAATATACTCTGCCATCTGACTACGCTATCGTGTTCTTCCTTGGTCTCGTATTCGTGGGTATGTAGCAAGTCCGAATAATTAGTGATTGATCTCTGCGTCTGTCAAGTTTGCATCAGGACAAATCCTAAATTGGCGAGCCCGACGTGATCAAATATCCCAACGTGATCGCATATACCGACCAATAACAAGTATTGAATTGGTGAGCCTGTTCCATTTTATATTTGTTTGTTGTTTTCATTTAGATAACATTTATATATCCATTTACTACACTTTCTCATGTCCGACCACACTCCCAAGCTTATTCGTATTAAGCCGACTTCGAACACTGTCCAACTCGTGCCATATTGGCCAGACAATGCAGAAACATGGTTTCTGTATGCCGAGGCCGGTTTTCGAGAACAGGGCGTCTCAGATCCTCATTCTCGATTTCTTGCTGTCATACGGTCACTACCGTGAGAATTAAACAGGTATGTTACAGCACACATGTTTAATCCTGAAATAAGTGATCCTTATGCACTTCTTAAGGCCGCACTCTTGAAGAAAAGCGATCTGACAGATCACCAGCGCCTAGACGAATTACTTCGTAACATCGAGCTAGGCAGCCACTCAGCTACTGAAGTCCTCGCACGCATGCGAGAAGTAATCGGTGCACGAACATTTGACGATGGTTTCTTCCGAGAACTATTTCTCTTGAAACTACCACAACCGGTGCAAACCGTGTTGGTGACACTCCAGTCAGTCCCACTCGATAACCTGGCAGCCTCAGCAGATAAAATACTGGAGATTTCTAGCAGACCCGTCTCCAACATATATTCTATCTGCGACAAACCGGAGCGCCAGGATTCGGAGGTGACCGAGCTGTGCAACTCTGTGAGACAGTTGCCACGATCCCGAAGTCCTAGCTCACGTAGCACTTCACAGAAACGCACCTTGGTGCATCGCAGCAAATCGCGTAGTAGCCCCAAAACTAAACCTAACAGGGTGAAAAACCCTGAATGGTGCTGGTTTCATAATGCTTGCGGAGACGAAGTCAAAAAATGTCGGAAACCATACCTTTTTAAGAAAGACACAAACTCGGGAAATGGTCACGCCGGC